CCTTCCCCAAATCCACGCCCCCGTCCCACCTCTTCCCCAAGCGCACCACATTCCCCCTCCTCCCCCTCCCTCCCAGCGCTTGCTGCTGTGAAACAGCTGTTTTGTGGCAGCAAGAGCTGGGAGCTGGGGGGAGAAGCGGAGCTGCAGTGCGCTCAGGAGAGGAGGGAGAGGCCGAGCAGAGGTGGAGGTGAGCTGGGGCGGGGGGGTGGCAGGCCAGGGAACTGCCAGTGGGTGCAGAGCACCCACCAATTTTTCCCCATGAGTGCTCCAGCCCCAGAGCACCCACAGAGTCAGCGCCTATGGATGTACCTGGAGCAGAAAAGCAGCAATCAGGGCTGCAGAATGCAAGGGGGGGGGAGCAACCTCTTAGCTGGGGAAGAAGATGGACTCTCTCTTGACAAGGCTGGAGTAGCTGAACACTTTTATTTAGGGGAAAGGGACATAGTTGTTTTTTTCTTGAGGAACCAAGTATCTGCAGGTCTGTCTCTCCAGCTGGAAGCAGTTTGAACAAGGGAGCATTCTAAACAGTGTAGAGTCGAGTGGGACTTTAAAGGGCTCTTCAAGAATGCAGCACATGCTTCCTCACCTATGGGAGAGACCTTTAAAAACTGCCTTAAATCATCCTAAACAAGAGCCACAGTTCAAATCAGGCTTGGCCGGCATCGTTGAAACCGTGCACTGAGTTACCCAGTACAGTTCCACAGAGCCATGTGTGGCAATGAGGTATGGGCTTGTCTACGCTGCCAAGTTGTCGACAAAGCTTTTGTCTTTCACAGGTACTTTAGAAGTTTCCGCCCACCCCCAAAGACAAAAGTTTTGCTGCGGCAAGTGGCAGTGTGAACACAGCTTTGTCGGCAGCGCGAACGCCACTTGTGGGGCTGGAAGTATTTTGTCGGCAAAAGTGCCGACAAAGAGCATTTACATACATGGGCTTTTAGCGACAAGGCTGTATGGACCCAGCCTTGTCGCTAAAAGTCAGCGTGGTGTAGACAAGCCCTGTGAGAATCAGGGTGGAAAAAAAACCTGGTGCCTGAAGAGAATTCCTTTTCTTATTAAACTGCACATCCCAAGCACCTCTGTACTTTTCCGGCTTAGAGGGAAAGGTTCCATTTTAGGGAGAATGAAAGGCCATTTGGGAGTAGGGTGACCAGACAGCAAATGTGAAAAATCGGGTAATAGGAGCCTGTATAAGAAAAAGACCCCAAAAAATCGGGACTGTCCCCATAAAAACGGGACATCTGGTCACCCTATTTGGGAGGTGATGGTGCAGAGCCCTGGCAGCAAGGGCCTGGTGAGGGCTGGACTCAGCCATTGGGATCAGCTATTTCCTTTTTAGTCATTCACACGGATTTTGGGTCCTGGCTGACATGGCAGCCAGCATGTGAAATGCTTCCCTGTGGCCTTTTGACAGGCACACAGAGGAATCTCACTACCAAGTCCCTCTCCTAGGAGGGGAGGGGGAAGGCTGCAGGGTGATCTCCCACCTCCATGCAGCCAGGCGCCAATGCTTGCCACTCCCATTCTGGAGCCTCCACATGTATGTACTGACCAGGGCCATCCGCAAAGTACACAGCTATGTAGGGCACCAGGAAGTTTGGGGCAGCAAATTTCCTGGTGCCCTGTGCAGCCCCTGCTCTGCCTCTTCCCCAGGGCCTCTGCCCCTGCTCCGCCCCAGCCCTGCCCTCACTTCACCCCCTCCCCAAAGCCCCTGCCCTTGCTTTGCCCCATCCCGCCTCTTCCTGCCCCTGCTCCGCCCCAGCCCCGCCCCTGAGGACTCTGCAGCAGGGCCAGGCCTGCACTCACCGGTGGCAGGAAGTACAGAGACCCGGCCCCAGCCGCGCTGCCGGTGAGTGCTAGGGGGTGTTCCCCCCTGTCTCCCAAGCCAAGCGCCCCCTGCACAGGCCTGGGATCTCCTCCCCATGGAAGGCTGCCCCCCCAGAGGTGCTGTGTAGGGCCCCAGAATAGCTAGGGACAGCCCTGGTATTAACAAATAAAATTGACAGAATTTTAAAATATTGTGCACAGAATTTTTAATGTTTTGGTGCTGAAAGCCCTCGGGAATGTGGCATGCTGGACAGTTGTGGGGTGGGGGGCTGTGAGGGGGTGCTGGGCAGTGTGGGGAGTCTGTGGGGGGGAGGCCACTGGGCATAGGGATCGATGGTGATCTCTGGGTGAGGGGCCACTGGGCATGGGGGTTGTTGGGCATAAGGGAGTGGGGGGACCTGGGCAGGGCGGCAGTGTGGCAGGCATATGGGCAGTGCAGGGCTGGGGTTGGGGGCGCAGGCGTGAGGGAAGTGCAGGGGTTAAGGTGAAGGTGGCACTGTGGAGAGGTTGGGGTGAAGGTGGTAAAATGTAGGGGTTAGGAGCACAGTGTAAGAGTTAGGGTGCAGAAGGGAACAAGGGTTAGTGGCAAAAGGGGTGCAGGATGGAGAGCCCACGGGGGCCAAGGGAAAAGGCCCCAAGGCCGGCCCTGCACACTGGTGGATATGAGAGTGGGTTTCTGCTGTCACCCTTCCCCTCATGCATCATTTTCCTTCCTCCCTTATTTCTGCTCTTTCTCCTTTTGCTTCTCTTTCCCACAAGTCCGGCTCAGCCAGCCCAGACAGCTCCAACTTTTGCACCAGTGCTGGTAGGGTGACCAGATGTCCCAATTTTATAGGAACAGTCCCAATATTTGGGGCTTTGTCTTATATAGGTGATTATTATCCCCATCCCCTGTCCTGATTTTTCACACTTGCTGTCTGGTCACCCAGTGCTGGTAACATGCGCTCAGAGATGCTGCAGCACGATGGGTTGATCGCTAGGACCCAGGAGCTGCTGGGAGGTGGCTCTGGGGGAAGCAATCGCTGGGGTCAGTCCCGGTGTAAGGACACAAACAGCTCCCTCTCCCAATTCCCTACTTTGAGCATGCCCAGTAACCTTCGCTGTTGCCACTGCTCTCTCTCTGCCTTTACTTCTATTTACGATTTGCTGCATCCTCTTTGTGGGAGGAGGGATTAAAAGGATTAAGGGGGTAAATCGCAGAGGGGGCAGTTAAGGGTCTGAGCA